GGTTGCGGTGGAGTTGGCGTGGCCTTCCTTGCGAGTCAAGCTGAGCCTCGGCCATCGCAAGGGCAGCCTCGTTTGCTCGGCGCTGCGCACGATTGACGTTCCTATTGACGTGGGCGGCGCGGTCCTCCTCGGTTTCCCCTTCCCATGGGGGGCTGTCGACGCTGACGTTGAAGATTGCGCCACCGCGCAAAGGAGGGAGAGGAAGTTGTTCGGCGGTGGTCTCGACGAGAGTCTCCATAGAGCCCTAGGACTCGGAGTCTGGATTCTCCTCCAAGATGGTTTGGAGGGATGCTCCGAGGCATCGGCCGACGTGTAGCATGTTGATGGCCGGCGGGAGCTGGTCGACGATCTAGTTAGCGAGAGGATGGACATCTCCAACCTAGTCGACGAATTTGTCCCTGAGGGCATCTTGATAGGCGACGGCGACGTTGGTGAGCCCGAAGGGTAGGGTCGTAACCTCTAGAGTTTCCCGAGCAGCCTCCAATAGATCTCGATCAGAGGGTGGTCAGCGCTGAACCAGGGTGGTCAGAGCCGATTCGGCAATGGAGAGGCAATCGTTGAGCTTCTGGCCAATCTGATCGATGGATGCGATCAGATCGTCGTTGTTGATTCACCTCCTCTGGTAGCGGGGAAGCGGGCGGCGAGTTGTAGGCGAAGACGACCTCGGAGGCGGTTCCGAGATCGGGTCTGCAGTCGACAGTGTTGAGGTGATCGGCGCAGTATTGATATGCACCGGCTCGATGAGTTCTCTGACTCCGTCAGCGTTGATGATCCATGAGATCGATCTGACCGTGAAGATCTGGCCGGGTTGTGGGAGGACGAAGAGCTTGCAGAAAGAACCATCTTGTTTGACATGGAAACAGCACGCACGCCCCTACAGCGCACCAACTGTCGATAGATTGATCGGCAGAGATGCGTGTAACCGAGAACAAGAAGGCAACAGAGACACACGAGTTAGACAGGTTCAGGCCGTCAGTATGATATAATACCATACTCCTGTGGTCTGTTGGATTGTATTGGCTATCATATGATATTGCATGAGTTTGGAGGGGGTCTCTGCCTGCCTTATATAGTCTGGGGGCAGGGTTACAAGTCGGTTAGATCTAGAAGATAACCAAAAAATAATAACAGATTACAGAAATCATGGGATCATACATATCCTAACAGATCTCGTAGTATCTTCAGGATATCTTCCGGTGTCTTGCGGGAGGCGCCGAGCAATGTCGTGCTCCGCAAGGCTTCGTCTTGTGGGCTGTGCCGCCCATGGGGGTGCAGCCCATGTGGTTTGCCGTGGATATCCGGGGTCGTACCCCCCACACTACAGTTTGATGAATCCTCATGCGAGGGATGACAAGAAGACCACTGAACATAAAAGGCCTCTATTGTTTAGTAGATATGTGTATTTCTATACATATATGGTTCTAGCTTATAAAACACGATTGTAGGTACACAATTCTCTTCCTTCCTTTGATATCTACAGTTAAAATTTACCAATAATAAAATATCCTTCATTTAGATGATGTGGTGATCGCTTGAAAATATCTTATCATGAATAGGTACTTTATGTAGCGAATTGTTTGTTACTTTGTGGGCGCCTCACAGAATACCACAATAAACTCAAACGAAGCTTAAATTACTTGATGTCTGTGGCCAAATTCTATGCTCCATATATCTTCTTCAAGGGATGGTGAGCTTTATTCAAAGCTATCCTACTATCAATTTTATTTCCCCTCAAATAGACAAGCAAGGTCCTTAAAGTTTATTTTGCTTACATTTGAATATGAGCTGATGATTAAGTCAATGCGAATTTTCACTCTTGAGTCGATATATCACCTTATATACGAGTCACTGCATTGCAATAATGGTCTACCAGGTTTCAAAAGCTAAAATTTAGTGTTTGCAATCGAATATTAAAAAATATGTCTATAGATATGATCTACCTATGTGATGTTGATTGAGCTTTAATTTTTTTTCTCTTATATTGAATCTATGTGTGAAGCTTTGATAACACAAACCTGAGAACGTTGTGGGAGACAACTGGCGCAAGGCAGGGTGATGGATACATATTTAACTTTGATTCCAGTTGCATCAACTGGGGGATGTATCTGTTCAACACCCACATACCAGCTGTTCTCAAGGTGGCTGCAGACATGAAGAAACAAGGCAGAGCATGAAGTGCATTGGCCGATTCTAAAGGAGATCCTATATAAAACTATACTAGTGTTGTTGCCCGCTATATATATTTGAATCCTAGACGTATAAAGTTGCTCTTGTGTCGATCGGGCTGCATCACTTCAGCCGTCGGATTGATATATATTACCATGGATATACTTGTAATATCTATATCTCTACAACTATAATAAGACCATAAGGTTGTCCTGCAACCGGCTTTACTATCGTCCTACCGATCTACAGCCCTCGACTTAGTTAACACGCTTAAAAACCGTGTTAACTTCTTCACTGACACCATTAGTTACCGAGTGGCACACATGGAATAGTTCAAAATACAATGAGACATGTACGAATATTATATTGAATATTTTAGGTTCTAAATAATATTGAATAAAAAACTATAAAGTTTTAAATCTTGCGAGCACTACAACTTTAATATAGTGTGTGCCTCGATCGAAGGTCATTTGAAACATTCGTAAATTTAAATTTCAAAATTTAAGAACTTAATATAATACACCTGGCCTTCTAAGCAATCTCAAATGAAAAAGTCACCAACTAGAAAGTTTTAGGATTCGTTGATTTCTGTAAAATTTGTCTTCATTTAATATCATTTGAAAAAGTAATAAATTTATTTATTTATTCAACAACTATCTTGTCCAATGTTGCCACTAACTTCTATACCAACTTCTATACCAGCGGTATCGAGTTGTTGTTCTACGGAAAAGCAGCCTATTCGTTTGGTTGTGGCTTGTCGTAAACGATCGTAAATTTCTAGCCGGAACAGTATTTTTCTCTCACACAAACCAGCCAACAGTACTTCTTCACAAACCAGCAACGAAACGAACCAGCCAACCGAACATGCCGAAGGACTTTGTGTAGCCTGTACTTTTTACCGTGACTCTCTCTAACCAGTGAGAATTAAATACCGCCGACCTAATCGACGAAAAAAGTAGTAAAAAACAAATTTAAAAAAATATAGAAATGAGGCCAAATATGCTACGTGGGCTTGGGATGCACGCTAACGGGCCAAATAAATGAACTTGATAACTAATGTACATATCTGGGCTGAGGTGGGGGGCTTGGCGGTTGTCGTGGCTGGACGCTGGAGCGGTGGAGGTGGAGCGTCCGGCGGGCGATGTCCCTGCTCCGCCCTAGCCCAGGCCGGCAAGCCCCAAGGGGCAAGGGGAAGCGCGTGCGGACTGGACAGAGCGAAGCCAGTCACGCCGCGGTCCCCCGGCGCGCTCCGCTGGCCGTCTGCCGCACGCTGGCGCACGGGACTCGGTCAGTCTGGCCACTGGCCACTGGCCACGCACGCGGCGTGCGATTGCGAGTCGTCGACGCGTTCGCCGTCTCGAGTCGTGTGGCTCCCGGGCCGGCAGCGCGGGCGGCTAGCCTTCGGGCTGCAGAGTCCGTCCCACAGACCACCGGTGCACGAGACCCCGTGCGCGACGCATCCGGGCGGGCGGGTGATTCCACGCCACCGCCCTGCCGCGCACGCACATGCGTTCTCAGAAGGATCGGAGACGAGCAGTGGCCGTTCCTCCTGCACCGCACCGCTAACGTTAGTCCCGTTCTTCGTCTATACTTTTCAATAAATAAATAGTATTTTTTTTCTCCCAATAAATAAGTATAAGCATTGTAAACATCAACATAGATCAAATTTAAGCGAAACAAACAGGGCCGTTGGCTTCACACGATTCCACGAGGCCGTGTACCAGACTACCGTAGTATAGGTGGTGTTTGCATCGATGTTGTATGGGATATTCGGATACTAATAAAAAAATAAATTACATAATCTATTAGTACTTTCACGAGATGAATTTTTTAAGATTAATTAATCCGTCATTAACACATATTTACTGTAGCACCACATTGTCAAATCATGACCTAATTAGGCTTAAAAGATTTATCTCATAAATTAGTCGCAAACTATGTAATTAGTTTTGTAATTAGTCTATATTTAATACTTCATACATGTATTCAAACATTTGATAGAACAGCGACTAAAATTTAGAAGGGATGACGACCACTAATATCAAATTCGAAGGTCCACGCTGCAACCACTACCTCGAAACGAGCGGCCAGGGGATCGAGAGAAGGCTGGACGGTCGGTGAGAACTCCTGGCTGACAGACGACAGCGACCTATTCTTTCCCCCTTAAAAATCATGGTTGACAGAGAGCAAAGCATCCAGAAGACCTTCTTGCCGCCGAAGCATCCAGAACACGGTCCACATGTGGGTTTAGTCCCGACTAACAACGTTGATGTGTACGCATTAGGCACACAATTAGCAAAAGAAAAAATCCAGCCAATGCCTTGGCCCCCACCACAGCATCATCCCAGACCACATGAGTGTGTATGTGTGTGTAATCAAATCAAATCGGCTTTTGTTAATCGCAACGAGAGGCAGCCAACCACACGATCTCTTGGTCCCTCGCTCGTACGTACTCCTGTTATCAGTTAGGGTCTGTTTAGTTTCAAAAATTTTCAACCTAAATTGTCACATCAAATCTTGTGGCACATACATAAAATACTAATTGTAGATAAAAAAAAAAAAAATTACACAGTTGGATGAGAAATCACGAGACAAAACTTTCAAACCTAGCTAGTCCATAATTAAACACTAATTACCAAATACAAACGAACGTGCTACCGTAACCAAAACAAGAAAAATTCGTCGTCTAAACGCGGCCTTATAATAATTAGCGAGGAAAAGAACAACAAACGTCGCCCACATGTTGTTGTTGCTACATTTTCTCAGTCTATCTCGGAACGGCCCGGTACAGTGCATGTGCAGCGGATGTGGGCCCGGCTGGATCAGAAATGAATTCAGGAGCACTCGGCCCATCCCTCCTCCTGGTCCTGGGCGTCCGCGGCGGGGCCGGCGGCCGGGCGGCTCTCCGCGCGCGCCATCCACGACGCGACGGTGAGCACCAGCCTGGCCGGCACGTGCGCGGCGGCCTCCAGGCGGCCGAGCAGCGCGGCGTCGCCTCCATTGCCGCGGCACGCGGCGGGGGCGACCTCGGACCAGAGCGCGGCAGCCATCGCGACGCGGAGCGGGACGCGGGCGGCGGCCACGCCCCGGCCCAGCGCGCGGAGCGCGGCGGCCGCCGCCGCGGCGCGACGGCGCGCGGGTCCCGCCACGAACCCCATCAGCTTGGCCCACCCCTCCAGCACCGCCTCCGCGCGCGGCCGCCGCCGCGCCGGAGCCCGCCCCGCCGACGGCGTCGACGTCGCCGGCGCCGGCGCAGCGGCGGTTGACTCCGCGGAATCGGCCGTGGAGACGCAGGAGCTGCTGGACGCCGACGACGCCCCCCCGGAGTCGGCGGCGGCCGGGGAGTGCGGCAGGCGGCGCCTCAGGTGCCTGGACGCCAGGAAGTTGGCGCCGTGCACCTTGGAGTCGCAGCGCAGGCAGAGGAACGCCGAGTCCGCGGCGCAGTGCACGGCCGCCGCGCCCCCGCAGAGCTCGCACCGCGTGCCGGTGCCGCGCTTCCGGCCCGCCGCCGCCGCGTCACCAGCAACACCCATTCCCGATGCCTTCCCGCTTCCTGCCTGCGGCCTCGGTCTTCCCGTCGGACTCCGTAGCCTTGGTGTTCGTCGCCTCGTCGTAGTCGCCCAAGCAAGCAAGCAAGACCTCCGACCTCCGCGCGCGGAGCTGGTGGTGTTCAGTGGATGATGAATGAATCGCCTCCCTCGCTCGCTCCCTCCCGGTCTCGGGAGCACCGGACGCCACGCGGCCGGCTTTATATACAAGTCTCCGCGGGCGGGCGGGCGGGCGAGCGCGAGGCGTTTCGTCGTCCTTCGGCGAAACCGGCCGGTGCAAGTGGCGATTCGCCGCAGGGGTGGAAACCGTGGGTGCGCGCTCGCAGGCGGAGGCTTCGGCCAGGAAGGGGATTTGTTTGCTTGGAGGCTTTGGGCTGCGCGTATGGCCGGCATTTAATGGGGCCCTGCCCGCGTCCGCGCCCGACTACTGACGGTGGGCTGGTCGTGCTCGCTCGCCGGCCACCACACACATCATGTTGTACTTGCGGGCAAAGGAGTCGCGATTGGACTTTTCCCTCTGATTCTCGCGCTCTTCGTATTTTTTTTTATTAAGCCTCTCGTCTAAGTACAGTTATAATTATAATATCTGTTCATGTACATACACACCCACGCTACGCATGCACACCACGTAGTGTGTAAACCTACAACTACGTACAGATAACAACCACGTCCCCATGCTACGCACGCACACCACACAGGTGTTCTTGAGATCACCGGCCAAACACGCTTCGAGCAGGGCTCGGCTCGGTCCCCGCAATTCGCATCGTTGGTGTGGTGGAAGCTGGAGAGGGACCGGGGGGCGGGGGAAGAACGTGATGCCAGTGCCAGGCGCGGTTGATTCTGGGCGTGTTGGGAAATGTTGTTGAACGCTTCCTCTTCCTTCCTCTCTGTGGTCTCGGTTTGGGGATGTGCAGGTCGTGCTCACCGGCCGTGCGCGGTATGATATTTCAGCGAATGAACGGGCGCAAAAGGTTCCGCTTTGACTCGTGTACTCTGTATACCTGCTGAGGTCTTTTTCCCCAATATATACTGTCGTATAAAGTCGTATACATATTTGCAAGTGCGGGCAGTAATTTGTTTGGTACAACAGCCGAATCTTATATGCACACAAGATAATAAAGCAGCACATTGCCTTAAGCTGCCAATATTAAGTCACTAGTGTGCTAGAAATGCTTGAGATCAACAACGTTTAGTCAACAGAATGAGATTTGTTGCAAAACAGTGTCAACAAAAGGCAAAAATCTCTGATGCAATGGCTAACGGCACGACACTTGCAACATAAATACACACCTGAAACACTTGAAATATACTTTTACAACATGCATATACATGCAACACACAGATCTACTTTTGCAACATACAGATAAATAAAAACACTTAAAACATACGTCTAAAACACCTGAAACACTGAAAACATACGCTTGCAACATGCATATATTATCATTGCAACACATACAACATCTTAGATATATTTTTGCAACGTCCAAATCAAACACTTGAAACATAAGTCTGGAACGCCTGAAACACTTGAAACACGACCTAGCTGGTGGGGAACTGTGGTAGCTAGCAAGCTCGAGTTAGGGGGACGTCGGCCCAGCGTGTTCGCTGCAGGATGTCGACCCATCGCTCCTCCTGTGATTCTCCCGCACCTGCTCGCTGCCCAGACTCGCACCTCGTCGGCGCGGCTTCTCTAGCACCACCACTGCTTGCCGCAATTGTTCGGCGCCATCCGCTCGCGGGAGATAGGGAGCGGCACGGTGGCAATGGTGTGCGCCGCTGTGGGGGAAGGGCACGGCGCAGTGGGGGACGGGGCGCGCAGTGGGGGAAGGGGGGCGCTGCGAGGCAGAGTGCGGTGGGCATATGCGTGGTGACGCCGTGACACCGATGCGAGTGCGAGTGGGGAAATTTTCAGAGATAAAAGAGGTGTAGAGGTGCTGTTGGGTCTGTCCGCTCGTAGGCCCAGGAAGGCACGCGTGCGGACTTGACGGACGACCATGTGCAAACATTTGCGAATGGCTATAATGAAAAAATATATTATTAATCACTAATAAGCTCCCATTTCATACCAACTCTAAAGTCCGCTTCGAAAGCTTGTGCCCGTAGATAATTAACCACGCACGAGACTAAACATCACGCTGCAACTGCTGCAGCTTCAATCTCTAGCTTATCCTTCGATTGAGAGAAAAGAAATTGCCACTTGCGATCCGATCTATCGGCGACCAGATTAAACCGGCACTAGCTCATCAGGTGTACTTTTCACATGGCACTTGGAGTATATAATATTAATATATATTCTGTCACTCTGTGGCCTCTTGCGGTTGAAGTGACCTGTGGAATATAAGCGGCCACGGTTGAACGGTGGGAGATTAAACAAACCATACTTAACGTGTCAGGTGGTGAGAATGGGGCAGAGGCAAATAAACAGGAGCCGTTGGTTGGGGGAGGCAGCGATCGTAGAGCGATCCCTGTCCACAAAACCTCGTCCGTCTCGAAGGCCCCATGCCAGCCGCGGCCCCTGTTCTGGAAGGCCGGCCAGCTGGACCCCTCCCCTTTTCGGTTTCTAAAACCTATCCCGTTGCCGTTTGGGGGTATCAATCTCCTTCAATTCCAATCTCCTCTAGCCTAGCCCACACAGCCTGAATTATTGCTTAGAAAACGTTATCTGCCGTGAGATCATCATGTTGCTGATGATGCGCATTCGGCTTCATCATCATGCTAGCTAGCTAATCTCTAACCTTCTTTTTTTAGATAACAGCTAATCTCTAATCTCCTTCTCATCATGATCGTACTTTTCGACCTGATATGATGGATTTATTAACCTGGATAATGGTTTCTTTCCAATCGAGGAAGCGTTCGATATGATCGATCTACTGGATATTTGCAAAACTACTTGAAAGGGAATATTAATCTGGTAATGCATGCGCGCATCCAACGGTGGCGCGCATGAGGGCATGTGCCTCTAGGGACAAAATTTGTGCCTCCATACTAATCTTGCATGTTCATTAGTTCAGAGCAACGAGCGAACATGCAAGTTCTCTATATATATTTTTTGAACCGGATGTATCCCCATTTCCATTAAAGCTAACGGAAATACAGCGGTTTTCAGACTGTTTCGGAAAAAAATGAAGGACCAGAAGACTTACGGCCACTACCTGAAAAGTATGACTCAACACAGAGCCAGCAACCCATACAGAAATCGGAGAGAAAGATTAGAAACAGCATCTAGTAGACAACCGATCATCCACCGCTCCAATCCTTCTGCTTGCCGCCGGAATCATCCTTCAGTAGCAACCTCCCTTCTTTTCCCACCTTCTTGTTGAGCAGCTTGGTTGCAATCTGCAGCATTGTGTTTACTCCAGGCACCGGTGCTTCCTTGTTATTCTATATGAACAATCCTGCCCAGTAACTCATGAGCACGTATGCATGACATATAATTGAAACAGTGGTTTTTAAAAGGTTTACCATCAAAACAAACTTTATTTTTAGTTTTCCGTAAACGGCTGCGATTGGCAAGCTAGCTCTATATATGCATGGTCAGTAGTTCATTTTTAATCACTAGTTGAGAGTCCGTGCGTTGCTACGGGAACCAAAATTTTCCATCAATTCTACCCCTCACGCACCCTGTCACGGAATCTAGGAAGGGCAAATCCATGTTTGTTGGAATAGAAACGCAGAAGAACAATCCAATAGGTGGGCTCTTTATTATGCTCAAAACCCTAGGAGTGTAGATATTTTATACTTTTCATATACCTCAGAATGTAAATTCTTTCTAAGCACACAAACTTACCATCAGAGTTGAAAAATCAAAATCACTGAGTAACGACCTATCGAGAGACAGCAAAAAGTATGGCACTGGACAGAATTAGGATGTGTACCCGCAAATGGATGGATATGCTTGATTTTATAGAATGATATCTTGAGAGGTCAACACGGGAGGTGTCTAACCTGAAGAGCAAAGGCCACTGAAAATTTCAGAGTAGTTCATATCTTGTGGCTGCAGCTAATGGCTGTCAAAAATTTTCTTTCTAGGTGCGTGACATAGGTTAGCAAGCAATCTCATAAATGAGAACTCCCATGCAGAATGACGGAGATAGCCAATACTAAATAACTCAACTTCTGAACAAATTAGGACTGAAACTAAACCTCTATAATTGGCAGTGAGGATATAAAATTCATTGGAGCCTAAATAATACTTATGAATGAATTTTCATCATCACAAATTATATTTTCTGTAGAGACAGACATGTAATGGAAACTGAATAGAGTTTGTTATGACTGAGAGGCCAAAATTCAGCTTTCGCTAAAAACTATTATAAATGATGAATGACAAGAGTATACATCAAGATTGGTGCTCAATTGAATTTAATTTTTAACAATGTGAATGAAATCCAATTAGTCATTAGAAGCCTATCAGTTGTAAACGTTGCAGAGCATATTTGAACAAAGGAGGAGATCATGGCATTTGAAGTTTTCAAGTGTATTTTACCATACTATTTATTGAAGCCGATTATTAGTACTACATAAGTCTAAGGGGGAGAAACACTAAAACATCAATCCGTCACAAGATAGAAAAATGCCAAAGTGTCAAATCAGCAAAGGAATTGGCCGATATAAAAAAAACCTTATAACAAGCGATTTGTAGCTTTACTGACAGACAGAGTAGCATCAATTCTCGGTTTTAGTTTACAGGGTGCCTATTTCAGGTAAAAGGAAAGAATATTTATTTCAGCTTACAGGATAGGATATATATTTCAGATCTCAATTTAAAAGTTGTAGCTATCAGTTTAGTTATTTGATACAAAGAGACTTCGAAACTTAGATGATCCCCATTGAAGCAGCCTATTAAACTCAACACAAGATTTCATAAAAAACAGAGGAACAAGATGCAGCACTACGCCAATTCCAACAGGAACCGAAACAAGTGGAGTATGTACCTGTTACTTCCAGTGAGTAGTGGTTGCCTACAGGAGATTAAGTCTCCAGAA